ACTGGAAAATAGAGGGAGAAAATGTGGAGGCCGTGACAGACTTTGTATTTCTAGGTGCAAAGATTACTGCAGATGCAGACTGTAGCCAGGAAATCAGAAGACGCTTACTTCTTGGGAGGAGAGCAATGTCCAATCTCGATAAAATAGTAAAGAGTAGAGACATCACATTGGCAACAAAGATCCGCATAGTCAAAGCCATGGTATTCCCTGTAGTAACCTACGGATGTGAGAGCTGGACCTTAGGGAAGGCTGAGCGAAGGAAGATCGATGCTTTTGAGCTGTGGTGTTGGAGGAAAGTTCTGAGAGTGCCTTGGACTGCGAGAAGATCCAACCAGTCCATCCTCAGGAAATAAAGCCCGACTGCTCATTGGAGGGAAGGAATTACAACAGAGAGGAAAAAACCAGGCACAGATTAACACCTCCCAGCAACAGATTTTCCCAGACTCAGGCAGGCCTTCAAATGCTAATGAAGGTGATCAGCTAAACATTCACACCTAGCTGCAGCAGGGAAGGGCTCCTTGCCCCACCACAGCCATTCCACAGATATATAAACCCATTTTTCCTACTTCCAACAGACCTCACTACCTCTGAGGATGCTTGCCATAGATGCAGGCGAAACGTCAGGAGAAATGCCTCTAGAACATGGCTCTATAGCCCGAAAAAACCCACAAGAACCTAGCATAAAGTTGAAGTACTTTGGCCACATCATGAGGAGACAGGAAAGCCTAGAGAAGACAATTATGCTGGGGAAAGTGGAAGGCAAAAGGAAGAGGGGCCGACCAAGGGCAAGATGGATGGATGGCATCCTTGAAGTGACTGGACTGACCTTGAAGGAGCTGGGGGTGGTGACGGCCGACAGGGAGCTCTGGCGTGGGCTGGTCCGTGAGGTCACGAAGAGTCGGAGACAACTGAACGAATGAACAACAACTATATATATAAATAAGTGATGAGGAGATGAACCGTTTACAATATAGGTTTCCAGCATTGATTATGTTATTATAATAATGGCATTATATAAATAAATGGGGAGAGGAACTTCTTCCAATATAGCTTTTGTGAATTTTTGTTGGTGTTATAGTGACAACATCATATAAATACATAAATAAGATAAGGAGACTTTTCTACTAGAAGCCTCCTCCATTGGCAGCCTTCCATGTTGGCTGCATAAACCCTATGAGCCATCCCGGGCACTAAAATCTTCGGGGGGGGGGGGGGGGGGGGGGGGTGGCTGCTCTCAGTCTTCGCAGGTCCGGCTGATGGAGGCAAGAGACAGGTAGTCTGTTAGGAATGATGGGCGTTGAAGTCCAAAACCCCTGGAGGGACGACGTTGACCCACGCCTGGTGTAGGGGCAGCCTTCGCCCGTTACTCCCCTTCGTGGGACGAGGCCTTACCTTCAGCACCGGCGTCAAGTACTCGGCCACCTCCAGCGCCTTCCCCTTCACCGTGTTGATGACGCTCTGCATCCTGCCGGCGGCGCTGCACCGACTCGTCTGAACCAGGCTCAGCCGCTGAGGGCCACTTCCTTCCGGGAAAGCCTGGCCCCGCCCCCGCCGCGCGAGACGCCCCGCCCACCGCCCCCTCGACCAATGGGAGGTCACATGACCCGGCCGGCTTCCTCATCCCTCTGGATACGATGGGAACGGTCGTGTCTGCGCTTGCGCGTTTTAGCCTGCAGATAGCGACGGTGTCACCACAGAGATAGGAAAATGTAGAGCAGGCATGGGCCAACTTCGTCCCTCCAGGTGTTTGGGACTTTCAACTCCCACAATGCCTAACAGCCGGAACTCTAAAATAATATAATAATTATATAATAATAATAATGGATAATGGATTTATTTATTTATCGTGTCATCAGCAACCATACCATTGTGTTACAATTCTAACAACAAAACAAACACACAGATTAAAAAGAAAAAGAAAAGAAAAAAAACACACAGATTTTGCAAACTTGGTATTTGGTTAAATGTCCTTTGACCAGTATCTGGCCACTTGGAGTGCCTCTGGTGTTGCCGCAAGGAGGTCACCCATTGTGCATGTGGCAGGGCTCAGGGTGCATTGCAGCAGGTGGTCTGAGGTTTGTTCTTCTCCGCACTCGCATGCCAAGGATTCCACTTTGTAGCCCCATTTCTTAAGATTGGCTCTGCATCTCGTGGTGCCAGAGCGCAGTCTGTTCAGTGCCTTCCAAGTTGCCCAGCCTTCTGTGTGCCCAGTGGGGAGTCTCTCATCTGGTATCACCCATGGATTGAGGTGCTGGGTTTGCGCCTGCCACTTTTGGACTCTCGCTTGCTGGGGTGTTCCAGCGAGTTTCTCTGTAGATCTAAGAAAACTATGTCTTGATTTAAGTTGTTGACGTGCTGGCTGATACCCAAACAGGGGATGAGCTGGAGATGTCTCTGCCTTGGTCCTTTCACTATTGGCTGCCACTTCCCGGTGGATGTCAGGTGGTGCAATACCGGCTAAGCAGTGTAATTTCTCCAGTGGTGTGGGATGCAGACACCCTGTGATAATGCGGCATGTCTCATTACGAGCCACATCCACTGTTTTAGTGTGGTGAGATGTGTTCCACACTGGGCATGCATACTCAGCAGCGGAGTAGCATAGTGCAATGGCAGATGTCTTCACTGGGTCTGGTTGTGATCCCCAGGTTGTGCCAGTCAACCAGAAATGGATAATGGAGAAAGGCAGGGAGTATCAGAAAAAACATCTATTTCTGTTTTACTGGCTATTCCAAAGCCTTTGACTGTGTGGATCATAATAAATTGTAGCAAGTTCTTGGTGGTCTGAGCATAGAAATCATCTTGTCTCTCTCCTGAGGAATCTGTATAAGGACCAAGTAGCAACAGTAAGAACTGACCATGGAACAACAGACTGGTTCAAGATGGGGAAAGGCGTACAGCAAGGTTGTATACTCTCACCCAACCTATTCAACTTGTATGCAGAACACATCATGTGATGTGCAGGGCTTGATGAATGCAAGACTGGGGTTAAAATTGCTGGAAGGAAACTTAGATATGCAGATGATACCACTTTGATGGAGGAGGAGCTGAGGAGCCTTCTAATCAAGGTGAAAGAAGAAAGTGCAAAACCTGGGTTGCAGTTAAACATCAAAAAACCCCAAGATTCTGGCAACCAGACTGATTGATAACTGGCAAATAGAGGGAGAAAATGTGGAGGCAATGACAGACTTTTTATTTCTAGGTGCAAAGATTATTGCAGATGCGGACTGCAGCCAGGAAATCAGAAGACATTTACTTCTTAGGTGGAGAGCAATGATCAATCTCAATAAAATAGTGAAGAGTAGAGACATCACAATGGCAACGAAGATCCGCATAGTTAAAGCAATGGCATTCCTTGTAGTAACCTACGGATGTGAGAGCTGGACCATAAGGAAGGCTGAGTGAAGGAAGATAGATGCTTTTGAACTGGGTTGTTGGAGGAAAGTTCTGAGAGTGACTCGGACCGCGAGAAGATCCAACCAGTCCATACTTCAGGAAATAAAGCCCGATTGCTCATTGGAGGGAAGGATAGTAGAGGCCAAGATGAAGTACTTTGGCCACATCATGAGAAGACAGGAAAGTTTAGAAAACACAACGATGCTGGGGAAAATGGAAGGAAAAAGGAAGAGGGGCTGACCAAGGGCTAGATGGATGGATGATATCCTTGAAGTGACTGGTTTGACCTTGAAGGAGCTGGGGGTGGTGACAGCTGACAGGGAGCTCTGGCGTGGGCTGGTCCATGAGGTCACAAAGAGTCAGAAGCGACTGAACAAATGAACAACAAAAAATGGTATAGTACAATATAGTAATATATAATACTGATATTGTATATGATATATTGTATGTGTACATATCTTGTAAGCTGCTCTGAGTCCCCTTCGGGGTAAGAATGGCGGCATATAAATGTCGTAAATAAATAAATAAATAAAATCACAACAGTAAATAAAAAACAACACTCAAAAACAGGGGAATTCCAGACAAGAAACAATCAGGGACAGCTAATCACCTCTCAAAGGATTCCCCCAGGCAGTAAGAAGCCAGACCTTGAAGCTGCTAGGCCATTACATGCTAATTAAGGTGACCAATTGAAACATTCACACCTAGCTCCAACAGACAAGAGTTCTTTCTCCCACCCTAGGGATTCCACAGATATATAAACTCTATTTTCCTAGTTTCCAACAGACCCCACATCCTCTGATGCAGGCGAAACCTCAGGAGAGAATGCTATACAGCCCGAAAAACCTACAACAACCCAGTGATTCCGGCTATGAAAGACTTCGGCAAGAAACCGAAATGTGAGAGTTGAAGTCCAAAACACCTGGAGGGACGAGGCTGGCCCATGCCTGATTTGGAGTCACATAACTCCACCAGGACTCTAAGATCTTCTGGGGAGGCCCTGCTCTCGATACCGCCTGCATCACAAGCACGACTGGTGGGGACGAGGGACAGGGCCTTCTCTGTGGTGGCCCCTCGGCTGTGGAACGCCCTTCCCATGGACATTAGATCAGCTCCTACGTTAATGGTGTTTCGAAGAAAACTAAAAACCTGGCTGTTTGAATAGGCATTCGGATAAACAGTGCAATGAATATGACGAATATAGGAACGGAATTATAGACGACGAATTGGATCATGATTCTAGTTACGAGACGTTAATGTGTTGTTATTGATGTGTCATTACTTTGTATATTATGCTCTTAATGGTTTTTAAATTATATATTGTTATGATTGTCTTTTTGCTCTTGTTGTGAACCGCGTTGAGTCGCCTACGGGCTGAGAAACTGCGGTATACAAGCAAAGTAAATAAATAAATAAATAAATAAATAAATAATAACAATGTAGGTTTGTTGACAGTCACTCTATACTTTTACTACCTCTATAAACTACTTCCGGTTTCTTGTAAAGAGGCTCTCTAATCAGACCTGCTCTATAACACGACTGAACTTACTTTTTCCCTTTCTGCGCATGCGTACATGAGAAGAGGCTGAAACAAGGAGAGCGGAGGTTTGCCGCGCATGCGCAGATATGTGAAAACCAGCCAGGCGATGTATACAGAGGGAAAAGGCGCTGCTGTCAGGTAACCAAGCCCTTAAGAGCCTCAGAAAGGGAATTGATGAAATATAAACTGCTCTTTGATTTTAGTTGTTAAGCAATAATAGACGCTCTCTCTCTTGGAGGAGTTTTACCTTCAGTAGCTGGGGAAATAGACAAGCTTGGGCTGTTTCCCATTTTGTAATTCAATTCATGGGGTTCCAGAAGCCCAGGTGGAAGGTAGGAAAGTATCTGTGGCAAACCACAAGGCCCAGAACTGGGAATGTGACATATTTGTTTATTTATTTATGGTTTACTTATTAATTATTTACGGTATGTATTTGTTTATATGTATTGTTGATGCTTATTGTTTATGCACTCCAAGACTGGGACCCAAAGCAGCGCACAACCTTAAGAAATAATGCAATTAAAAATATTAAAATAGAATCAAACTATTACTGTTATTAAAAGAATTTGGTTAAAACGCATTTTTTTAAAAAAATTAAGTAAATATCTGTTAAACAGTTTCCCCAAAACAGACTAAGTTCTTGCCTTTCCTCCCTCTAGTCAGGTAATTTTTTAATTATTATTTATTTCAAGTATTTATATTCTGCCCTTCAAAACCACCGAAGAGGGACTCAGGACGGCTTACAGGAGGCAACCATTAGATGCCGACACAATACAATTAAAAATAACAAATACGAGTAAACAGTTAAAATGATTATAAAAAATCAATTAAAGCAATTTGCCGGTTCAGAATCATAATCCAGATCCATACAATTGCAGCCCACTTCCCGGTTGATCCACCTATTGTTCAAACGTTTGATCCCACAGCAAGGATTTTGTTTTTTTGCAAAAGGTCAGGAGAGAGGGGGAGGGAGTTCCACAGTCGGGGGGGGGGCACCACAGAGAAGTCTCTGTCTCTCGTTCCCACCAGTCGCAACTGCGAAGGAGGTGGGACCGAGAGGCAAGGCCTCCCCAGATGATCTTAACATCCTTGGTGGCTCATAGAGGGAGATACATTCAGACAGGCTAACTGGGCCGGAACAGTTGAGGGCTTTGATTTTGTAGGTTTTTTCGAGCTATATGACCATGTGCTAGAGTCATTCTCTCCTGATGTTTCACCTGCATCTATGGCAAGCATCCTCAGAGGTAGTGAGGTCTGTTGGAACTAGGAAAAAGGGTTTATATATCTGTGGAATGACCAGGGTGGGACAAAGGACTCTTGTCTGCTGGAGCTAGGTGTGAATGTTTCAACTGACCACCTTGATTAGCATTTGATGGCCTGGCAGTGCCTGAGGCAATCTTTTGTTGAGAGGTGATTAGATGTCCTTGTTTGTTTCCTCTCTGTTGTTTTGCTGTTGTAATTTTAGAGTTTTTTAATACTGGTAGCCAGATTTTGTTCATTTTCATGGCTTCCTCCTTTCTGTTGAAATTGTTCACATAGTTTTCTGCTGCCCTGGAGACTAGGATGCGGAACAATGGCTTTAAACTACAGGAAAGGAGATTCCACCTGAACATTGGGAAGAACTTCCCAACTGTGAGAGCTGTTTAGCAGTGGAACTCTCTGCCCTGGAGTGTTGTGAAGGCTCCTTCTTTTGAGGCTTTTAAACAGAGGCTGGATGGCCATTTGTCAGGGGTGCTTTGAATGTGATTTTCCTGCTTCTTGACAGGGGGTTGGACTGGATGACCAATGATTCTATTTGCTTTGATTATTATTTCATGTTGTTAGCCACCCTGAGTCTCCATTGGGAGATGGGGCGGGATACAAAAAAAAGTTTTGATTGATTGATATATGCATGAATGCACAGGGTAATAGGAAAAACTGTTTATTATTATAAATCAAGTTTATTGTTATAAATCAAGTTTATTATTATTATTACTATTATTATTAACTACAAAACATTTATGTTTTGTAGTTAATAATAATAGTAATAATAATAATGAACTTGATTTATATCCCACCCAATCTCCCCAAGGGGACTTGGGGTGGCTTATAGAAAGCAACAGTGCAAACAAAACACATAAGGTGTACAGTAGAAATTAGATTAAGTAAATAAAAACAAACAAACACTAAGGAAACACTCTCTGCCCCGGAGTGTGGTGGAGGCTCCTTCTTTGGAAGCTTTTAAGCAGAGGCTGGATGGCCATTTGTCAGGGGTGATTTGAATGCAATATTCCTGCTTCTTGGCAGGGGGTTGGACTGGATGGCCCATGAGGTCTCTTTCAACTCTTTGATTCTATGATTCTATGATTCTATGAAAATAAAATAGTTAAATAAATGTATGGAAAGCAATGTCATTTATGTTTTGCTATTCAATAAATTTGTGGAAAGTATTGTCATTTATGTTGTGTAGTTACATAGATGTATGGAAGTATTTTCATATAGGTTGTGTAGTTACACAGAGGCATGGAAAGTCATGTCATTTATGTTTTGCTGAGTTTTGTTCATCCCATGTATCCATCCCATAATCATCCATGCCTGAAGCAATGCTTTCTTCTGTACGATTACACTATGTTTTAGGTTTTAAACCACTGATTCAGAAACTGGATGTTATTTTCCAATCACCTCCAATTTTAGTGAACACAAGTCTGGTAATAACCTACAATAGATTCTTGTGTATGAAAAATGGCCCCTGAACCCTCTCTGACCCTAATTAGCATTCCAAGTAATAAATTGTATACTGTTGTTTCTTTGAAAAGACCCATCTGATACGTTTTCTTCTTTACTGTTCAAAGGCCACTGACAACAAGACAACAGAATGGAGTCCAAATGCGGCAGTCAGACTTCGCGATTGTTCAAATCGACTGTACATACATTCCTGTTAGGAGGTACTTTTGTTGCCTTGGGGTCAAGTCGTATCCTTCTGATGAAATACTCAGCCAATGAAGGTATGCGTTTGTCAGCATGCAGATATGACCTTCAGATTCTCTGTGAGCATATGACATGAGGTTATGTTATCAGACCGTGTAGTCCTAATCTAATATAAGAACTATGTACTAATCTTAATTGCTTCCTCAGTGCACCGTTCTGCAAGGACAATTTAAGTAAACTCAGGGTAGGCTTGAATATCACAAGACCTGAACATTGTATATGCCCTTCTCTTAACATTAGCTGCTGCCCCCACTAAAGTCACACTAAGGAAATCCACATACATTCCAAAAACCTCACCACCTTTGAGGATGCCTGCCATAGATGCAGGTGAAACATCAGGAGAGAATGCTTCTGGAACATAGCTATATAGCCCGAAAAACTGAAAACAACCCACATTCCCAAAACCACCTAAAGCCCTACTATCCTATAAGATTTTTTCGTACAGGTGATACTCTGCCACTATTCTGCATCATAGAGAGACACAAATTTTCAAAAGCTACTGTTGAGGGGAATCAGTTCATTGATTTTCATTCACTTGGATCATGCTGGGTTGGTGGTGATGACAGTCTAATGTGCCTCCTATTTCATGAGGTTGATCAGTTCAGGCACCCAGAAAACCTTCTGTGACATCAAATATTAACACCACCACTGAGGCTGCCTCCAAAGATAGAGGCCATGCAGAATGCAGCAGCTTTGTTAGCAACTGGTTTCAGTTATAGGTTACAAAACCCTTATCCAAAAGCTTGGGGTCAGAAGTGTTTTTTGGATTCCACCTAGCTGTTGGAATATTTTCACGAACATAATGAGGTATCTTGGAGATGGGACCCATGACTTAACTTGTAATGTTTCATAAACTTCTTATACACATAGCCTGAAGGTCATTTTATGCACAGCATTTTGTACATGAAGCACGAAGGTCTTCAGGGAATGCCCTATTTATTTATTTATTTATTTATCCTATGGACACAGAAAGAGCTCTTCTTTGTCTTTGTGCCATCCCAGGTAAATGTTCTCCCCTTTGTAGTATATCAGGCCTCAGTGCCTGTTAAATCTGTTAAATCTATTTATTTAGACACAGACAACTGAAATAAAATATGCTCCAGCTGATGTAACAAGCAAACATCAAGATTCTCTGTTAATGAAGTTACAATTGAATTTTGGATCAGTGGTTCCTTTTAATATGATATTATAGTAAAGTCTTTGGCACAACAAATGCTAAGATCTGAATGAATATGTATATTAAATTACTATTAACAAGAGAAGGAACAGGATTTTTTACGAATGCTTTGTTAAGGTTGAAATGAAGCATTCCATTGGGATGAGGATTTTTCTTCAAAACAAAGCTTCTCCAGCTCACATGAATCATGTTAATTCTCCTCAATGCTGACATTCTCCATTTCCATCTGCATGTCCTCCAGTTCCACTTTTAATCTACAGCATTTCTGCTGTAAAGTCGAGTTGCATTTAGGTGCCAGTTCTAGATATTCGATTGCTTTTTTGTTTTCTTCTTCAAAGACCTCTAGGGCAGCTACAGCCTCCTTGCTCTTCAAGAAGTTTCTCTCCTCACTTAAGGTAGTCTGGGTCAGCAAATCCAGTTCATCTTGAATACTGTTCAGTTTCTCCTGGAGCATTTTCTCTTCCTTCTGCTCTCCTTCGACGTCATCAAAAGTGTATCTTTCTTACTTTCTGTACTCATAAACAATGCCAAAGCATTTCATACATTTTATTATTGTGTTTCATCGAACTGTTGCTACTTTACAAATAAGTCTACAACAATTCTTCTAATGACAGTAAATTAAACTCTTTTTCCTCAGATAATAAATATGATTACCTTCCTGCGACTGTGAATGTGTGTTCAGAATTAGTTAAGCTGGTGCTCTGTCTGATAATGGCACTTTGGGTAACTAGAAAAGGTAAGCTCTTACTTTTAGGATTTGGTATGATGTTTAGCATGGCTTCTGTACTTGCTGGATATGTGTCAGTATAATTTATGCAATGCACAAAAAATATCAGTCTGACTTTGTTCTTTATTCCCAGTACAAAGTGACTGTATTGGTGCAGTAAATTCGCTTTGAAAACTTCAGCAACATTCTAAATTATCTATTGTGCCTAAAAAAGTCTTTTATGGTCTGAAGAAGCCGACTTCATGCAGTTAATAATTGCATTTCCTGCTCTTTCTCCCTGTGCAAAATGTTTCTAAAATTTCCAATAAGTGTTTTAATGAATGTGTGGTGCTTTATGAGACTGCAAATTCTCATAATACAATAAAAATATATAACACTCTGTAGCTTAGAGTTAATGTGCCCCTAATACACAGATTTTGTCTACCAGCCTTCCTTTAACCAAATGAATGACATTTCTATAAAACTCTTAAGAGGTCTGAGTTAATTAGTTATAAACAATGTACTCATTAAGATGATAATGACCTTTCTGTTAAATATATTCAAGTTATACCTTTCTGTTAAATATATTTTACAGAGTGATCCTTGTTATTTCCTTAAGTATTGTAACAAGCAGAACACTGTGACATTAGTTTTCAAAGCAGGGATGGGCCTGCTTTAAAAATGAATGATGCCTAGAGACTACACTACTAAATTTTCACCCACTCTGAAGAGTTACAGCGCACCACTTTGATTATCATGTTTCCTTTGGGGCCATTTTGGTTTTGGTGGTTTTGGTGGTTTTAGTGATTGTCTGGGTACACTGATTTTCTAGATGTGTATTACCAAATCTCTTTGAAATACTCCTTTTCTAGTCAGTAGGATACATTCTTGGAATGTAGCATGGATCATGAGATGCATATTTATTGGCTGTCTCAAATAGAGATGATTATTCTATGAAGTGCAATGCTTGCCAGTCAATTTCATTGCTTCATCAAATACTAGTAGTCAGTTCTTAAATGTTCAGATTCCAAAGAAATGTGAAAGGTGTGCACATTTTCATGGTTTCATGTACGAGTTTCATGTTAAGGTTTCATGCACAAGTTTTTTGAAAACAATTCCTGTTCTATTCATAGAAGATTTCCGAAAGAGGGATTTAGAAAAGTGGTTAGTGACATGTCGTAAAGGTCAATTGCTTCAAGAAGCGAAGATGACACCTAAAAAATTACAATCCTTGAAGTCACTTAAATGTTTCATTTGCTTCTTGTTTTTTCTACTTGACAATGAAGCTTAATGCTCATATTTCACTCCTCTTTTTCTTTTGAATACTCCTTTAATAATAAAGAGACCTGTCTCTGGCCCTTTGAATCTCTCTTTCTTCTTGCCTTACTTTGATGTGTGTTTGTGTTTTTAAATAAAATGATTAACTTTTGAGAATCTCTTTGATTCCAACAAACATGCCAGTTAATATTCATCTTGTTAGCTGTGTCAAGCAGTTACCTTCAAAATACGTGTCATACTATGTGAAAAACTAACCTTCAGTCTTTTACAAAGACAGCATATTACATTTCAAAAGTTATACATATTAATATATTTTCCCCTTGTTACCCATGATTAACAGCCAATAGTAGAGGTTGTTCTTTGGGCCTAGCAACATGGGAAAAGGCCCTGCAGGCTTAGACTACAGCTCTATGCATTCTAGTTTCCTACAGTGGAGATGAGATACTTCAGAGATGTTTGTAGGATATCTCCCACTATATCTCTTTAGTAACTGGTAGCATGCTACCTAAACTTAAATATTCCCTATCACTGGAAGACTCATCCATGCATTTCTTTCATTCCTCCTTCTCTTAGAGGTCCAGTTGCACTTTACCAATGTTTATATTGTGACATCATTGAAAAAGTATTCTACTTAGTGTGAAGATACTTGAAAATTAACTTTGTAATAATCCAAGTTTTTTTAGATGGGAGTACTTCCATTAGATGCTTAAATGTGCAAATCTGTTTTGTAAAGTTAAGAAAAAAGATCAGCTGTATGGGTCAGAGCAAAAGCCCATTGACGGGCAGTAACCAACCGTATCTCAACAAGATACGCCTAAGCAAGGCACGAATGCAATAGCACCTTCTTGTTCCCCAGCAAAGCATTATGGAGAACGGCTTTCACAAATTATAGCTTCATTCATGCAGTTGAAATAGAGATCAATATTTAAGGTTACTTACTCACCCAAAATTATCTTATTATTGAGGATTTAAATGCTTTTTATTTCACCAAAGCTACTTACAATAATGCTATATGTTAGCTACTAAGTGCACTTAACTGTTTCTTTCTTCTCTTTAATGTTTTCTTTTTCTAGGAGGATATTCTCATAGTGGATTTGGCTGCAGCTCATGGAGGCAATTGTATAGCTATATTAAGTGGTCAATTCCTGCCTTCCTTTATTTTCTGGATAATCTGATTGTCTTCTATGTGTTGTCCTACCTCGCACCAGTAAGTAACACCCCAAAAATGAAAAAATAGTACCTGTCCCCAGAATTAATAGGGAGATAATTTGTCTAATGGCCATAAGTAGCCTCTGTGAAATTACAGTCAAGTTAGGACTTGAGAAAGTCAAGTCTTTCACAAGTGTTTTTGCTTGTCCTCTCCAAGGATCTTATCACACTTGGGGCTTTTGGGCCCTTTCTCCTCTTCTGGGATGGGGCTTTCCAAGTGCCATCAGACAACACTGACTTGGCCCCGCCCCATTGATCCCCAAAGTAGTGAGGAAGCGTCACAAGACACTTCCTCTCCACCAACACAAGTTTTTCTACCCTTTTCCCCACCTTGTAACATTCCCTCGTGATGGGGGAAGGAGGGAGGGAACGCGGGGTGATTGCCGGCGAAATGGAGCAAAATGGAGCAAAGTGTGAAGAGGCGTCAAGTAGCAAACATCTCAGTAACTGAAGTTGTTCCTTTCATCAGTCAGAACAGATTTTTGATGGAAAAGGAGAGCTGGGGAAAAACAAGAGGAATGTCCTATTTCTTCTTTTCTTGTTTCTCTGAAATGAAAGTTTTTGGCCCTCTCTAGAAAGCCATTTCAATTAATCATATCCCAGTTAGATTTTGAGGTTTTTTTTTTTTTTTAAAGAAATGGTTTTCTAATTGTGAGTTTTAGTTAGATCGATAAATCTTGGCTATACTGTTGTAGTGCTAGCCTTCTTGAATTTTTTTAAAAAAGGATTGTCAGTTGGTGGATATTCTATTGCTAAGTTGCATTTGGCTTGTACCTTGACTCCTCCCCTTCTTTTTACTAGGCCATGGCTGTGTTGTTCTCAAATTTTGTCATTATAACAACGGCTCTCCTGTTCAGAATAGTGCTCAAGTGAGTAGCTATAGAGATGGCATTTTGCTGCTTCATTTCTCAGTAATAAATTCTGTCTAATTCTTGTTAATACAATTTTAAAGTAAAGTCTAAGGGTATTTGAAATTAAATGCTTAATCAAAGCAATTTCAATAATATAATTCTTACTATGCTCATTGCTGGTGTGTAAGGCTGCAGTTTAGAACACGTCTATTTGTGTGTCTGTCCTATTGAACCTAAATCTGAGCCAACTTGCCTTAATAATTCCCTTAATTTTCTTTAGTCTTATTTTCTGCCATTTTTTGAGTGAATTTTTTCTCAATTTCTCTTTTTTTGGCTTTCATTTATCCAATCTGCAAATCTAATTCTAGGACCTCAGGTTGTCTCTGTAAAACAGGATACAAAACTCTGGGAAGCCCAGGGGCAATTTTGCCCACTTCCTTAGTAAAATTCACTGTAGGTTTTTTCCCTAGTTGTCATTCAAATTCAGCAGTGGAGCTTTTAAAGGACAAGAGTTGTATATATTCAAACAAGTGCAGCCATATTCTTAAAAAAGAGTGAAGAGGGGAAGCCAGGAAGACAGTTCCACCTTATCTCCTGTACCATCAGTTGGGGGCCCCTCCCCTGAGCAACAATATACTACTATATAATACTTATATTGTGCTATGCAAATAATATAATATATAATATTATAATATAATATAATATAATAATATAATATATTGTATATACATATAATATTGATAATATTGTAATGTAATACAATATAATATAATACTACTAACAATATAGTATTAATTATATATTATATATTACATGTAATATTACTAATAATATTACAGAATAGTGGTATAGTACAATATAGTAATATATAATGCTAATATTGTGCTATGCTAATAATATAACATATTGTACGTACATATAACTTGTAAGCTGCTCTGAGTCCCCTTCGGGGTGATGTATAAATATGTGAGAGGAAGTCACAGGGAGGAGGGAGCAAGCTTGTTTTCTGCTTCCCTGGAGACTAGGACGCGGAACAATGGCTTCAAACTACAAGAAAGGAGATTCCATCTGAACATGAGGAAGAACTTCCTGACTGTGAGAGCCGTTCAGCAGTGGAACTCTCTGCCCCGGAGTGTGGTGGAGGCTCCTTCTTTGGAAGCTTTTAAACAGAGGCTGGATGGCCATCTGTCAGGGGTGATTTGAATGCAATATTCCTGCTTCTTGGCAGGGGGTTGGACTGGATGGCCCATGAGGTCTCTTCCAACTCTTTGATACTATGATTCTATGAGGGAGTGTAGGGTATAACTGTAGCAAATAAATAAATAAAAACTATTGCAGGCAGTTCCCAAGTTAAGAACATCCAACTTACATATGACTTCTAGTCACAAATGAGGGTGAGACAACAGAAAGTGAGAGGAAATCTACTCCTGTAAGAATAGGAAATTCACTCCTGAAAAAGTAACCCTAGAAAAAGGGTCTCTCCACTGAATTTTCTTTCACCAATCCTTGTTTCCACAACAACACAAAATTTTTCAAAATCCAATTTTCACAGGGACAGAAAATAAGGTGAAATCTTCTGACAGGGACACAAATAGCAAAACAAATGTCATAGGGGTGGTAACCCTTCCCTATGCTATTTAAAACTTTTTAAAAAATGACTGGAGTTACACTTTAAAATGTACCCTTTCCACTTTGCATACAAATTCAGCATAAGAACAGTCTTACCTAACCTATCTTGTTCATAACCCGGGGACTTCCTGTATGTAGTTTCCGCAAATTAACGAGACAAACAAACAAAGAAAAAAAACCAGTATGTGGATTCTAAACTGATTGCTGCTCAAGGCCTTTGCTATGGCATACATAGAATCCTCTGATTTGGGTTTATGAATCCTAGCACTGGGCAATACACCAGGCAACACATTGGATGTATTACAATACACTTTGGTGTATTGTTGGAGTGTATTCACATAGCTGCCTTTGCAAAAAAAAAAAAAAAAAAAAAAGTTAGGCATTTTATCACATGTCTTCATTTGTTCTCTTTGGGATTGATTTATCAGGGTCATTTCATGCTCGCCAATATATGCTGAATGAGTCTCTTCTCTACACAGGCGGCAAGTCTCCTGGGTTCAATGGGCCTCTCTGCTGATTTTGTTCCTGTCTATTGTAGCCCTGACTACAGGAACAGGGAGCAACAAGGATAGCTTGGCCGTGCATGGTTTTCATCATGACATCTTTTTCAGCCATTCAAACAGTTGCTTGCAATACACCAGCCCGGAGGAAGAATGCTGGGGAAGAAACTGCACGGCAAAGTGGTCCTTCCCCAGTTTGAGTTGGAACGTCACCACTGGTATAGGCACCTCAAGAACGGTTCACCTTGGCCTAGGACATCTGCTCATATTGGTGCAGTGCTTTATCTCTGCCTTGGCCAACATCTACAATGAAAAGATATTGAAAGAAGGAGGGCAGTTCAGCGAAAACATCTTTGTACAAAACACCAAGCTGTACCTTTTTGGAGCAATGTTTAATGGCCTGATGCTGAGTTTGCGTTCTGAAAACAGGCGCCGCATAGAATACTGCGGCTTCTTCTATGGCCACAATGCCTTCTCCGTGGCCCTGATTTTTGTCACTGCCTTCCTGGGACTCTCAGTGGCTTTCATCTTGAAGTTCCGGGACAACATGTTTCATGTTCTGACAGCCCAGGTTACAACTGTTATCATCACCACAGTGTCCGTCTTCGTTTTTGACTTCAAACCTTCTCTGGAATTCTTCCTGGAAGCTCCTGTTGTCCTTTTGTCCATATTTATTTACCATTCCAGCAGCCCTCGATGTGTGGAGTATACAGCTCAGTGGGAGAGGAGCAAACACAGCGGAGGTGCATGGGAGCGCTCCAGCGGGGTAAGGCTTTGAAAGGGTTCCCTTCAGGACCTCATTATATGAATAACTGTTGTTAACACAAATAGGAACTTTTCCTTCAGTGGTTTAAGTAGTACCATTGGCCTATGAATGTATGGCCTTCAACCAATTCTACAAATGTTCACCACCAACGTCCTCACCGTAGTAAATCTATTTTTTAAAACAATGGTAACAAAGAGAGAAGAAACAATGCTGTTATTGTTGTTAGGCTGTGGAATAAATATCAGAAAGGATTAATTTTTCTCTTTCCCTGCATTGGAACAAATACCTCTAGAATGCCAATGCATTGGTGTATCATTGGTCAGCAGTGTAGGGCAGTGGTTCTCAAATTGTGGGTCCCCAGATATTTTGGCCTTCAACTCCCAGAAATCCTAACTGCTGGTAAACTGGCTGGGATTTCTGGGAATTGTAGGCCAAAACACCTTAGGGACCCACAGATTGAGAACCACTGCTAGGAGAAAGGAAATAATGGTCTGTGAGTCCAATTGTGTTCATTTCCCCTGCAGTCCTACCAATTCAAAAAGGAGGCAATCTCCAATATCGTTTGTGTCACTGGAGTAAGCGATCCAGTTGTTGAGTTGCTATAATGGAATTAGAACAATCAGTTCACCATTTTTACCAAAGGAAATGCAAAGGAAACTCTGTAGGCTGGAGTTCAAGAACAGCCTTGGGGACCACCAGGGCAATATCTTTCACACCTCTGCTGCCAACTAGAGCCCTTTAGAGCTCTTGATTTTATTGTAATACTAGCCTATGTACCCGGCATTGTCCAAATTTGCATTCTGTAATGGTATTTATTAGTAAAAGTAACCATTAGTTTTATGATTGTAGGGGATGGTTTTATCACCATACCGAAACACAAAGCAATACTTTCTTTGTCCCTCAGGTAGTAACCATGGTTTTCATGGCAACCCTCTAGTAGCCTCTTGGGTTACATCTGGGCCTTTCCTGCTCATTTCTAAGTTGACTCACATGCACACAGTAACTTTGGAGTAACTTTGTCCCATGGTGTTTTTTTTTAAAGGTATTTCACAGTCACCTCATTTGATTAAATGAGCAAACATATTTACTGGAAGGAAACACAAAGTAGTGGTTTCTCTATTTTTCAGATCCTGACCACTGGGGATGTAGGACTTCATGGTAACACTCTAGTGCAGGGGTCCTCAAACTAAGGCCCGGGGGCCGGATGCGGCCCTCCAAGGTTATTTACCCGGCCCTCGCTCAGGGTCAACCTAAATATGAAACTACTCGAAAGCACACAATAACAACAACAATCCTATCTCATCAGCCAAAAGCAGGCCCACACTTTCCACTGAAATACTAATAAGTTTAAATTTGTTAAAATTGTTCTACATTTTAATTATTATATTGTTTTTTAATATTTTTTTTTGCACTACAAATGAGATACGTGCAGTGTGCATAGGAATTCATTCATGTTTTTTCCCCCGAATTAGAATCCGGCCCGCCAACAGTTTGAGGGACCTTGACCTGGCCCTCTGTTTAAAAAGTTTGAGGACCCCTGCTCTAGTGGCTCTACTGACCTCTTGCATTTGGTTCTGGCCTGTTGCAACTCACATCAGCCCCAGATTTGGCTGGACTGCAAGTTGCGGCTGTCCTCCTAACTTATTAGATAGCTCAACCTTCTTCTTGGGCTGAAACTCCCATCATTCCCACCCTGCATAGCAGAGGGTCAAGGATGTTGGGAGATGCATTCTGGCATGTAGGCTGAGCTGTCTGACTGGTTTGGAGGAGAATCATGCCCTCACTCTTGACAGGGAATGATGTGGCTCTCTGAATATGGGTGGACTATAGCTCCCATCAGCCTCTACCATAGTCCCAAAGTACACCAGTATTTCAAGTTGGGTCATGAAGGGCATGAATACCAAATTTAATCTAGATCCATCATCAGTGGTATTCATACAGGTGCTGGATGAGGGTGGACTACAACTCTCATTATCTTCTGTCAATCCTCCCCAAAACCCATCAATATTTTGAGTTGGACCATGCAGAGCATGTGTAGCAAATCTGGTCCAGATCCATCAAGCCAGGTATAATTGTTGCTCAAATATACATATAAACAAACAAACATATTTTGACTTTTGTACATGTAAGATTTACAACTGCAGCATTGTAGCTGCCCCCAAAATGTTAACTTTGTGTCATAACTATAGTGGGCACATTAAAATGAAATTTAAAAGTGGTTTTTTGAAAAAGTGGTTTTTAAGGATTCTTATATTATTTTCCAAAAATACTTATTAAAGCATACATTTAGAAGAACATCCGTTGTATTCTATGGAGCTGAGAAAAGGCAATACACTGTTGAGACAAGCCCACAGTCCACTTCACAGGTAATGTTAACTTTAAACCAGTTGATTTAACTGGGTTTAGCTGTGCTTTCTGTGCCGGATTGTAGATATTGGACACTAGAGGGCTGTGCAGACAAGGAAAACGGTCCTTTAACGCTTGTGCTCTCATTCCTATTGGCATCAGCAAATGAAAGCTTGGGTTTCTGTTGAGTTCAATTTTCTCCAAAAATTGTTTAGGCTAAATATGGTTTTTAGAATCTGGAAACACTACTTTTCTATAACTCACAGAATCCCCAGCTAGCATGACCGTGATTGAAAGCCTGGGGATTTGTAGTCCAAAAGGACACCTTTCCCACGTCTTGATTTTTCACAGTGAACCTCTTCATGGACCATAACATAAGAGGAAGCTTTTCTCTTCTTATAATGTTGGAACTTGGGATCAACTGCTGAAGCTAAATAGTGGGCAGTTCAGAACAGATAAATGGAAGTGTGACTTCATGCTGCATATAGTTAGATTTTGGAATTTGCCTCACAAAATATGGTGATGAAGACCAACTTGGATAAAGTGCATTAGAGCAATAACTGTTGGATGAATGAGCTTATTAACAAAAGACCCTCATAAACATATAGCAGAGTGACTTATCATCAACAGTGTGACCCAGTACCAGTAGCCAAAAGTGATAAAAAGAACAAAAATACACAGACCAATGTTATCCCTTTCTTTGTAGCAAAATAATATAGTTGCTATTTACAAGAATAAGGTTTCTATAACACAAATAAATAAATACGTAGTAGCTTTACACACAGCAGCCTTCACACTGGAGCTTTCTCACATGAGGCTTCTCTCACACAGAGGTTTATCTCACTCTCCTTAGGACGACACTAGCTTTGGTCCACTAACTCTAACAGGCTTTGGCCTACTAACTCGTTCAGTGCTTGACTCACGATTTTGTAATTAAAAATACCCAGTTAATTTTTAATATTTCTGACAATAACTAGTTTAGGCCACCAGTGCTTATTAGTCAGCCTTACTTCTATTATTGTGGGGAAAGGTAACATAAAAAGGATTCAAAATCAGTTTAGGAATTGCTGGATACATTTCTTAATATGTTATCAATTAAAAGGTTTGTTTAAAATCCAAATCTAGATGTCAACTTTTCACTCTCATCTCTTGTTTTCTGTAGGATGGAGAAGAACTTGAAAGACTTACCAAACCAGACAGCGATCATGATTCAGAGGAAGAGGCCTTATAGGAAGGTTTGGACTCTCAAAGTCCAGGCAGCTCTTGTCACGTTTTGCAATTTGAAATGTGAAGACAAGGAATTATGACCGACAAGTAGAGACAAGTGTTTTAGGTAAATTCATTAAGGATGAGGTTTACTGGTTACTGGTACCAGTATCCACCACCTCAACAATCACCAAATTACTGCAAAGTATTTTTATGCTGTGAAGTAACAATGGGAGATGGCAACCTTTGTCATGTGCTGCTTATGACCTTTCTATAGATCTCTGTGCTTGGTCTTCAGGTTTTTTATGGAATCAGTCTCACTAAAGTCAAGATTTTTTGCTACAAGAAAATGATCAGTACAGAATGGAGTCCCAAAGGCGTTGGATGCAGAGAAAGAACAGTTTCAACTACTTGTCTTAGGCCTACTGATTCTGGTACTTTTCTGTCATATCCTTGCTGTTGTGGTTTGCCTCTGTTGAGAGCTGATATGAGGAAAGAATACATACAAAGAGTTATCAAGTTGCCCATCTTATAACTTTACAAAGGTATTTGAACTATTGTATGACATAAAAATATAGGGATGAAATTATTATTTTTCATCACCTTTCGGGAGTGTTTTGTCCATTAAATGTGCTAAACTTGTCTTTGCCACTGTGTCTATATGCTGCAGGCAAGAGTGATTGATTTCAGTGATGTTTGCCACTTGAAATGACAAGCTGGTGATTGGGTTGACTTGTGCAATACCCAAGTCTAGCTTTTGCCCTCTGGTTGTGTTACTTACTATTTTTAATGTATGTGATCCACGAGTCTCTCTCCCTGTGTGTGTTGAAACTAGAGTTTGGAAACCTTTTTTTTTTTTTACAATTATTTATTACAGTTCTTCACTTTTCCAAGAAAACATTGTCTTTGTCCATGCTAGCGGGCCGATTTTAAAGTCCAAAATAGGGTTAGCTATTCCCATACAATTTCCTCTTATAAATGAATGGTTGTGTGCATAAATCTGTCTAGCACTTTTTGCTGCTTAATTAACTGTAGGAAGAACTTGAAATTATATACAAAGCCTCCCTACTTGTGAATTGTGCATGAAACCAAAAAAAGGCGTTATGATTCCCCAATTCTCAGTGCCAAACTACAAAGGAGACAATAGAAAGGGTGGGAATAAAATGCAATGCCAGAAAGAACAGTTTTAATAGCATATTCTAAAAATTGTAGTAGTGCAGCAAGTATTTTGGCGTATATGATGAGTGAAATGTAACATTTTATAAGCTGTTTTGAAGGTGAGGAGACATATAATGATAATAATAAAGCACCTTATCCAAATTTATAAAAGAGGTTACAGGAAAATGCTACCTATTTTGCAGAAGTCTTATGGGGTGGATAGAGATAGGAAGGCCTAGAAAAAAACCTGGAAAAATGGGGGGGGGGGAACAGTCCCCTCCTTCCATTTTTCTGAGCCTTCCCCCCCAATTTTTTTGCCCCCCCCCCCAGGCCTTCCCATCTCTAGGGACAGAATGCTTGAAAACAGTTACCATAAACCAGGCATCCTCAAAATCCAGCCCTTCAGCTGTTTGGGCCGCCAACTCCCAGAATTCCTGACCATTGAACAAGCTGGCTAGGGCTTCCAGAAGTTGGAGGCCCAAACAACTGGAGGGCCACCGTTTGAGGATGTCTGCCATAAACACTCCAGTAAGTAGTACTTAACAATATGCAGTGCTGCTACTGATTGCAGAGATAACACCTATCTTTGCAATGGGTTGGTAGAAAAGGCCAGTTTCATTAGTTGGTTCTGATTGTTCTACTACACACCTGTCTAAATGAACCAATCCTTAATTTGCCTCAGTATTTCTTCAACAATACTATTATAAATAAGAGTTTATTTATGATAAGATTAACTTTGAAATTGTTTATATGTATGTTGACATAGGGCTTAAGTGTGCTTTAACTTTTTTAAAAAAATATTGTGATTATTGAGCAAATTCAATACTTCCTGATTTAACAAGATGTGACCTCTTACCATTGTTTTAATATATATAGAATGAATTTGCTGTGGAACTCTCCCTGACTCTCTACCAGTGCCTGGGATTAACTTAATGTGGGATACTTTCGCATTTTGTTTGAAGTGTTTTACATTCCAGATTACTATGCCACAAAATCAAATAAATCACAGTGTCTGAACAAAATTAATGGCTTTGTGGGTTTTTCCGGTGTAGTTGTGAACAAGATTAGAAGAGATCTGCTTAATATGCCTTTTCTAAAGTTCTGCAAGACAACAAAGATGAAATTGGTTTGCTGTGATTTTTCTGGGCTGTATGGCCATGTTCCAGAGTATTCTCTCCTGACATTTTGCCCACATCTATGGCAGGCATCCTCAGAGGTTGTGAGGCCTGCTCACCGTGAAAGTGAAATTCACGGGGCAATTTCTTAATGATGCAAATAGATGCATTTGTTGTCAGTGATAATAGATGAATTAGATTGATTTCTTGTGGGATGTATCAAATTGTCCTGAAGATTGCACACAGCTTGCAAGACAGATTCCAGCTCTGAGTTACCCATGTGGCAAAGGAAGCATAAAACCTGTAGCAATGACTTCAGGTGAATATATCCCTCTTTCCCTCCTTTCTTCAGACCAGGATATAACCCAAACAAAGTAATAAGATTTTGATTTAACTAATTTGTTTGTTTTTGTTTTGTATCACTCTTGTAGCTTGTTAATCAAAGGAAGGTGAATACAATACAAAGCAGAGGCTTGTTTCCCTCTAATATATGGTAGAGGCATTTGCAGGGAAAGGTGTCAAGTGGGAGGGAACTTCTATATACTTCTGGTGCCTAACTCTTCCCTGCAAACGTCTGCATGGTTCATGCCTTATAGGACATTTAAAAAATATCTTCTACCTGTCCAAGTCCAGCAGTTGGGGAGGTGGGGGAGGGGACAATCATGGGGAGCATTTGTTAGGAGAATTAGGTATTGAAAGGTTAAGCACTTCCTTCTCTGTCTTGTTTCCTCTTCTGCATTCATATTTACTGGAAGATACATTTAGGTAACACTTCTTTGTGTGGATATAGTATAGGTAAAGGTAAAGGTTTCCTCTCGACATTTAGTCATGCCCGACTTAGGGGGTACTGCTCATCTCCGTTTCTAAGACAAAGTGCCGGCATTGTCCATAGACACCTCCAGGGTTATGTGGCTGGCATGACTGCATGGAGTGACGTTACCTTCCCGCAGAAGCAGTACCTATTGATCTCACATTTGCATGTTTTCAAACTGCTAGGTTGGCAGAAACTGGGCCTAACACTGGGAGTTCACCCTGCTCCCTGGATTCGAACTGCCAACCTTCTGGTCAGCAAGTTCAGCAGCTAAGCAGTTTAACCCGCTGCGCCACCAGGGGGCCTGGATATACTATACTTCAGCCCTAAGAGAATTCTGTTGTGATTGTCTCACCTGGAGTGCAAAAACACATTACTTGCAAATGGCGAATCCAGCTGCTTATTTCATTACAACAGTATAGCTTGTTTTGCAAAGGAAATAGCTAGTACTAAAAACTTTAAAGTGTCAGAACTAGGACTACTATAGTGCGGTAAACTTTTAGTGCTTCCCACTGCAAGTAATGCGTTTTTTTAAAATTGTTTTGGTCTCTTCACTTTGGTCTCTTCACAAGTATAACTACACTAGTGTGAATTTTCCATTCAGTTAAGGACATAAAACACAGAGATTTTATACTTAGCTATTCCCATACAATTTCCTCTTATAAATGGTTGTGTGCATAAATCTTTCTAGAACTTTTTGCTGGTTAAGTAACTATAGGAAGAACTTGAAACCATATATAAAATCTCCCTACTTGTGAATTGTGCATGAAACTAGTGAAAAACATTAAAATCCGAATTTCTTTGTTGTAAAAACAAAAGAGAGTTTTTTTTTCACTCTCTTTTGGCAAGTTACAATAGATGCTGTATGCAGAGGTTGAATCTGGTACTTCACTGGTGGCCTGCTGAAGCTGGGAAACATATTTTCTTGTGAAATTGTGTTTTATAGGATGCAGTAATTGAGTGGACAGATCTGAGTTAAATTGGTAATTTGAGAAGATAATGAAAATTGTTCTTCAGACGAATGATGAGCATATAAACAAGAACATAAGTGTGTAGTGTCAAATTAGGAAAAAGTTTTCCCATTAAGTTGCATGTGTAGACTATTGTAGACTTAGAGTTTCTGAATTCCAGTGAAGTTGTATGGATTATTTTACATTTTCACACATATATAGTCTCTACTTACTTCCTATCTTGTTGGTGCTGTTTCTTGGAATCGTTTATCATGATTGGCCTTTCAGATTCTTACCCAGTTTTGGTAATGACACCCATATATAATCCAAAATGCGTAAGAATAGCACAACTCAAAGTGGCATCTCTGGACTAATGCTCATCTACAAATCAATAATCAGCTACTGATTCCTGGAGAATTTCCAGGAAAGAAAGAAAGCATTTGTAACCAATGTGCCCAAATATGGTACTGGCTTCTGGCACATTGGAAAAACAGAAATGCTGTTTCCCCCATATAAGGTACCTTGGCAAACACTCGGTTAGAAGATAAATTTAACTATTATTTCCTTAATATGCAGTTTACAAATTCACAAGGGACGTGTCACTGGGTGGCACTGGAAGAATGTGTTCCTGCTTACAAAAGCAGAAATTTGCCAAAGCTTTGTATTATTATAAGTTTTTCGGACTGTATGGCCATGTTCTAGAAGTATTCTCTCCTGACGTTTGGCCTGCATCTATGGCAGGCATCCTCAGAGGTAAGTCAGACCTCACAACCTCTGAGGATGCCTGCCATAGATGCAGGTGAAACGTCAGGAGAGAATGCTTCTAGAACATGGCCATATAGCCCGAAAAACCTACAACAACCCAGTGATTCCAGCCATGAAAGCCTTCGACAACACATTGCCAAAGCTTTTCTGACATGCCTCCTTGTACATCAGGATGTCACTGTTATGGGGTAGTTGAAAGGGTATTTTTGATGGGCAAGTGCTAAGTCATTATACAATCTAATCAACCAGCAGGGCCCTGCTTATTGAGAGACTAAAGGTGCATCTACACTGTAGAATTAATGCAGGTTGGCACCACATTAACTGCTACGGAATCCTGAGATTTTAGATTGGTGAGGCACCAGCACTTTTTGGCTGAGCGATGGTAGTTAAAATTGTGTCAAACTGCATTCATTCTACAGTGCAGACACACCCTTTGTAATAATCCTTAAGCCTTGACACACAACAACTATAAAAAGTTGTATTAAAACAGATCAGAATATCTTTTCATCTAAACCAATGCTAGTTATTTACACTGGCAGTAGCTTTCGAAATTCTCTAGCAGAGATCTTTTCCATTGTCTGCTACTTACTTTTTTAAAAAAAGGGGATCAGCTAGGCCATGGACTGAACCTTGTATTTCTGCATACAAAGCATTATCTCTGCCATTGAACTCCATTATTTTAATATGTAATGAATTAACATAATCGCTCTTGGAAAATATCAAGGGAATGCAGCTCTTTTAACACAGCTAAGACCTCTTTTGCACAGCTGTATAAAATCCAGATTATCTCATATGAAATTGATTATATGGCAGTGTAGACTCAGATAATCCAGTTCAAAGCAGATAATGTGGATTATCTGGCAGTGTGAAAGAAGAAAGTGCAAATGCTGGGTTGCAGTTAAACATCAAGAAAACCAAGATTATGGCAACAAGAATGATTGATAACTGGCAAATAGAGGGAGAAAACGTGGAGGCAGTGACAGACTTTGTATTTCTAGGTGCAAAGATTATTGCAGATGCGGACTGCAGTCAGGAAATCAGAAGATGTTTACTTCTTGGGAGGAGAGCAATGAACAATCTCGATAAAATAATGAAGAGTAGAGACATCACACTGGCAACCAAGATCCACATAGTTAAAGCAATGGTATTCCCCGTAGTAACATATAGATGTGAGAGCTGGACCATAAGGAAGTCTGAACAAAGGAAGATAGATGCTTTTGAACCGTGGTGTTGGAGGAAAACTCTGAGAATGCCTTGGACCGCGAGAAGATCCAACAGGTCCATACTTCAGGAAATCAAGCCCGACTGTTCACTGGAGGGAAGGATAGTAGAGGCAAAGATGAAGTGCTTTTGCCACATAATGAGAAGACAGCAAAGCTTTGAGAAGATAATGATGCTGGGGAAAATTGAAGGAAAAAGGAAGAGGGGCCGACCAAAGGCTAGATGGATGGATGGTATCCTTGAAGTGACTGGTTTGACCTTGAGGGAGCTGCGGGTGGCCACGGCCGACAGGGAGCTCTGACGTGGGCTGGTCCATGAGGTCACGAAGAATCGGAAGCAACTGAATGAATAAACGACAATAACATCTGGCAGTGTAGAAGGGCCATAAGATGAGATTTAAAGTTTTGGATTGAGAAAGTGTATTATTATGTTTGTGAATATCCAATTCGTTTAAACTGGACTGGTTATTTAGGTAATTTTTTGGTCCAAAGTGGAAGAAAACTATCAGCAAATATGGTAGTTTGATTTTCCCACTTCTTCTTCAAAACCTTTTCCCAAGATCTTTTTTTTCTGCTGATAACAGTGGCGAGAACTGGTGTGAGTTTGATTTTGGTACAATGCAACACAATGTTCCTATACCACTGTATGTGGCAAAAATTGAACCCTATTCCCTTTACAATTGCCCACTTCTGCTTAAAGCCCCCTTGTTCTCCCACTAATATATCCCTTTTTGTTTTCTTTCTTGTATGCTATGCATTATGTTCCCCAAAGAAGCTCTGTAAAAGCTTTCCCTATGGAAGCAGGATAATCATTAGGGAGGAATCATGCCTATTCAGGAAATGTTCTCAGCCCCACCTCTGTTGTCCCAAAAGCAGACACTTCCTTGTCCTGATTGTCTTCCTGCTTACAGTGGGAGAAAAACAGTATCTGTAAATCGAGAGACTGCGAAAATGTTCCACAGTTTTGTTCTAGTGATGTTAGTATATTTTGCTGGTAAAACTATTATTCTATGAAGTTTTATAAACACAGACCTTTGAGTAAAAAAAAATCATTGCAAATCCTTTAGCACTTAGTTTTCAAAAGCATCTCTTCTGCATTCCCTTCTCAAAAGCTATCTTTTGAGGGGTACATTTTCTAATATAATCTATTTCACTTCTTCA